TCTGCGGTACAACCAGAGCGATTGGCTCGCGTGACTTAGCCTGCAGGAAGACCCTCGGGGCCCCACCTCGCTCTTCACCAGCTCTCCAAGTCCTGACTCATCTCTCCCTCCATCCCATCCTTGGCTCTCACCACTACTTTGTGCTGAGTCCACAGAACAACTTCCAGTTTCCCTATTAATACTTAAAACTTTCTCACCACCAAGCCTCAACCTGAGCCCTTTCTTTCCACCTAGCTAACAGCTACTCACCTTTTGGGTGCAAATTCTTCCAGATTAGGTGCTTCTCCAAACCATACTGTTGCTACACTGGATAGCAATTCTCCCTTTACTTGCCTATAACCCTTGAGTTACTAGCAGCAGAGTAAAGGAAAAAAGTCATGTTTCCCTTCCTCCTATGGTTTCCCTACTACTGAGCTCCAAGAGCAGATAGATGTTCGACGCATGTTTGTTTCCTGACTAAATATGTTTGGTAATGTCATCATGTAGGGTACCTTCCAGCTATATCATCCTATAGCCCCGTGCCCTATGCACTTAGAGATGGCAGCCCGGGGTGGAGGTAGGTGCCCAGGATGCCAGGGAAAGATTAGCACTTTCGGTTTCTGAAAACCAGGAGATGGAACAGCTTCCAATACCTGGGGACCCACCTTTCTTAGTCTTCCTTTCCTAACCTGAACAGCACACTTAGCAGTGGGTTGGAATCCATCAGAACTAATAGAAATAATCATCAAGAACAATTCTGAATCAACTAGGATCAACTTTAAACTAGGATGTGTTGTCTGGAAATTGGATGAGACTCAATATAGTAGAGGAAGAGCGATGGGACTGGGAGGGCCTATAGAATCATTTCTGCATTCAAGTCCCAGTTCTGTCCCTAATGGGGTGACTTTAGGCAAGCCTCTCTCTGGACCTGGAGATCACACATGCCTGATTGAAGAAGTGGGACTCAATAAGCTTTAAACCCCTTTTGATTCAAAATGTAAACTTAGAATTCTAGTGTTTGCTCTTCTGCTCATCGTCCTCTAGGCCACTGATGGGTTTTATAAGGAGACCATGCAGAGTGTCATGAAAGGGAAAGGGGCTATTGTGCATAAGGATGCCAGGACACTGGAACTTTCCCTGGTACCTCAGGACCTGTGGTCGCCCTTGCTTTAATTCGGCCTTTGTTGGCTGGGTTTCAGGTTTTTGGCTGTTACTTGCGGTCACAGAGAAGGCTATTTGGAATTTGTGGTCAGGGCCCAGTTCTGGGATTTCGAAGAGGCTACATGCATGGGTGGCCAGAGCAGCTAACATGCCCCAGCATCATGCAAGACCCACCTGACTCCCCTATCTGTTCTTGAACAAGTAGCCTGAGCCCACAGTTAAAGCAGCCTCCCAACTGCACCCTGATGAATCCACAGCCTACTCCAGTGGTCCAAGGTCAGTCACTGAAGAAAAACCTTTAAGTCTTCTGGGACTCAAGACAGCTGTGTGCTGTCTTCATGAATACGTGGCCATAGAGAAAACAGATACTGGAATGAAATATCCAGTACCCTCCAAACATGGTCCTTGCATCTACCATCACTCATACGTTTCCTCTAATATGTATACACATCTCAGATTAAACGGGCACTGGCTGCACTATACATGTAAACTTTCCTGTTACCATGGAAACTAGAGCAACAAGACAAAACTGGTCTACCTGAGAAACAAGTTAGCAGAGAGGATTCCCTAATTCTCCTGAGATCTGTGAGAGCAGCAACCTGTGCAAGTGAACACTGCACAATTCCCAAAGTCTTTATGTAGATCTCAGTCCCATCTCTCCTTCTAGCATCTGGAATATTCTTGCCTCAAAAAGGCAATCCCAGATCAAAGCCAAGAGTCATCATCAGTTTTCCAGCCAGTGGAGACTGCTGCCACCCCGTCAAGTCACTTGCAATTTGCAGGCACATCTGGGGGACAGCCCTTGAAAGGGTATAGGAAGAGTCACAGCTAAAATTTCCTGATCTGCCTGTAGAAAAATTAAAAATAGCTTGCTTCTGCCCCAAGCCAGTGGCTCAGTCTAACAGAGTGGAATGGGCGGGGGAGAAGGTAGTGGCTGTCTCTTGACCCTCAGTAATTCCTGCAAGTGGCCGCTGAAAACCTCTGTGGTCCTCCACGTGGTATCACATGGCGTGAACAGAGCTGACCTGACGTCAAAGCTCTCTAAAAATGCTGTGGCTGAGAGAGCACTAGAGCCTGAACAGCAGGGATGAGAGATTAGGGGCAGGACTGTAAACTCTGAAGGGCTTGGGGATTGTGCAGCATGTCACGAGACCTGGTTATTGTTGATTGCCTAGTGTTGCTGCTGTCTTGCTTTGGGCGTCAGCACATTGAGATAGGCCAGGCAACAGAATGAAACTGGCTTTCCCAGGATAGGCATATTTTCCAGGAAAATGGAAAAAGAGAAAGGCACTCGGACATTGGATCAAACAGGAACTAGCACTGGCCAAGGTGCAAGAGAGGTCAGAGCCACCACCTTACTCCCTAATTTGGAGTCCTGAGTTCTCAACAGTTTTTTTCCCTCAACTTCAAGCCTTTTTCCCTCAACTGCAATCACCAATTGATCAACACCTAATGTTATCGACTCCTTAAATCCCTGCCTCATTGCTAGAGGTGCCAGAAAAGTGCTTCTGTCTTCTGTCATTTGTTGTTCCTAGGTGAGGATTCTCCAGCATGGAGAGATGTCCAAGGGTCGGGTATGATCAACAGCAGCAAGCTGAGCCAATAATACCCATAAAATGGCAACGGTCAGCTACCCAGAAGGTCAAGGAGCCCTCTCTCTGAGCTAGATAAAGGCTCCGTACAACTGAAACTGCATCACACATCACCTTCCCAGAGCAGCCACTGGGGAAAAGCAGGGGTCAGAAAACGGGTTGTGGAAGAAGAAAACTTCCCTATTCAAAGAAGACTGTCCTTGTCCAGTATGTGGTGTATGAAGTGCAGTTCTTAGTAACCAGGGCTGTGGCCCCTGTGGATGGAGGGCCATTGGCCAGCATCGTCCAAGGGGACCTTTCAGACTTGTTGGGTGGCAACATGGCATAATGGGCTTAAAAGTGAGATGGTGTTAATAAACCTGATGACCTGCTGTGCTCTCTTCCCCTGTAGGTTCTAAAATAAAATGAGCTTCATGCCAAGTAAACATGGAATGTGGATAGCTATCTTCACAGGGGTCACAAACTCAAACTCTACAGCGACTAGGCTGGAATGTGAATGGGTGAGGCTGACCTACTAGAGACAAAAAAGGGAAAGTCATCTTCATCTCTAGGGGGCATCTTCCCCTTGGCGTCTGAAGGAATGCCAGAACTAAGGACCACACCATGGCCTTACTGTGCACACCATTCACTAGAACTGCACACGCGAGTCCAATGCTGTGTAGGCCGACTGAACATCTCTGTGGCACAGAGCCAGCCCACAGTACCCCGTGTGTCACCTTCAACATACATTGCCGGCCTCCTTTTACCCATGTTACAAATCTCAGTCATCCCCCTTTTTAGGTTAAAATAGTTATTCTTCATTATAGGAAAGCCCTGGGGGCAGCTGTTGTTTGTTTGGCATGGGGCCTATAGACTGCTCCAAAGCCACGGCGGTGGCAGCCAGAACTCCTCCCAGGAGCTCTTTCCTGAAGGCCTGCCAGATCTATAGATTTTTGACCACCTGCTTCTTTCCAAATACTCTTTCCCCGGGTCTCCTATTTTCACCCCAAACCCTACAGGTGTTTTAGAAGCTATTACCTCCCTCCAGCTCCCACCCCCCAGGCTTCAGTATGGTGGTCTCAGCTGTACCAGGAGAGGCAGGACCAGCACCCAGTTGTCTGAGAGCTCACCTCTAAACTCTGGCTCCTAGGTGGAGAGACAGTCAGGGGTCTAAGATGATTTCATTCAAGCATATCTTGTTTCTTTTAACCTGGTCAGCATTAAATCAGATACTTGGGTGCTGAAGGAAAGCTCTCTATAACCAAATCCTTGACTGAGGCAGAAACCTGTTTTTTATATCCTGTTTATTCAGGGGGAAAATGGCCTGGATGTGTCTCTGTTTGGCACAGGAATTGTGGCTTTGCCCAGGTTTGCCCTGACGACTAAAAAAAATAAAGACCTCAAGCCATCTTCCCAAAGTCTCCCACTGAGTGGAGGTGGCTTGACTTGGATGTAGGATCCAGCACCCTCCTTGCAGGAGCCCAGCTCCCTGACCACTAGACCACACAGTCAGTGTTTAACGTGCACTCAGCAAACCTCAAGCTCCAGGCCTGAAGAAACAGATTTTCCAAAAACAGAGCTCTTTGTGAACAATTCAGCAAAAATTCTCTTTCCAGCTGTGAGTTGGGATTCATGTTGCAGATGCTGGTGTTAATTAAAAACATCCACCTCCTACAGTTTCAACAAGAGAAACATACCATGCAGGATGTGTTCCTAAGCCCTCCTCCCCAAAGCACTTGTAAATATAATTTTATTTATAGCACGGGCTGCTGGGGGATCTGACAGATATTATCATGCCCAACTGTCAGCCCCAGTGAAAGAGTTGGGACCGAGGAGATGGATGTGATGGGTCCAAATTGGCACAGAATTAGAACCAGAAGATGAAGCAAGAATACTGTTTCTGTACAAGGATTGACTAGAGATGCTCAACCTCCTGTGTTCATATCAGGAACTTTACCTAGGCTGAAGTCAAATGTTTATCTGTTGAGTCATTAAAAATTTTCTTGACGGGGTTCTTAGCCTTCCAGACATGGACATAATGAGGTAATGTAAGGCCAGGGACATTCCACAAAGGGTGACACCATGTATTCATGGATTGGGGTATTAGATTATAGTCCCTTAGATTGTCATTACTGTTCTAACTTTACTGAGAAATCTTCATCTGCATTGGTTCTGAGATACTAACGTCAGCAAGGCTGCAGGGCACTCCTCCTGTGCTTGTCTCTGGCTGGTGAATCTGTCCTGCTTCCACACATGCACCAGGCAAGAAAGGACTGAGCCAAACCCATGTTGTTAGGAATGAATTTCTTTGTTTTTAATCTCACACAGTTTAAAATACAATATGAAATCAGGCTACAGTATATAAAAAACTCTCCAGCAAAATGATGTGCCAGCATCAGCTACTAAAATAAACAAATGAAAGACTCCCCCGTAAGAAATGTTTTTGTTTAAAAAAAAAAAACACATAAGACACTTACATCGCTACATCTCTAAGCTACCTCAGTTCTGATTTTTAAAAAGCACCTGCTTTTCCTTTTTTCATCTTGCTTTTAAATTTTCAACTCTTAAAAAATATAAATTATATGAAAATACAAGTTGGAAAATAGTCAAACACAATATAACATCTTTTTCACCCCTATACTTCTCAGCTTAAAAAACAAAGCAAAACTATTCTTAAAAAAAGTTCAATAACTGAGGCAGTATTCCTGATATAATTTCATTTTAATATATATACTTTATATATGTATATGTATACATATATTTATGATTCCTTGAAACTTCTTTGGAATGTAGGTATGAGCTCAACACATTTATATAGACCCCAACAGAGAAAGCAGCACGCACAGCATGTCTAGAATAGAGAAGGTATAATTTCACAATGAAGATTAGGCAGGTTAATGCTCTAAAACCCAGAGTGTTCATCTCCAAAGTGAGGAAAAGGACATCTGATCTTTGAATGCCACCTCCAGTCCCCATAACCACAAAGCCAGGGCTCTGTGTAGGGAAGTCCCTCCCCTGAATGGAGACAGGAACAAAAGTTGACTCTGAACCCTACAGCCAAAACCCAGAGGTGAGGGCATCTCTTGGAAAACAAAGGTTTCACCCAGCTAAACCAGATTTGCCCATCCTTCCTCTGAAGTTAACATGTGTTTTTAAAAAGCATAAATGCAACAATTCTGCTACATTTCCAGTGTATAAACCACCCACCACTCTTCCTGGGATGGTCTCTGGCCTTTGGACAGAAGGAGAAAAAGCATCTGGCCAGATCGACAAAGCTGTCTTAATAAGCTATCTACAAATACTGAAAATGGAGGACCCAAAGAGGCATCTTTGCAAACAAGCAGGCCGAGGAGCATGAGGAGGCACTTTATTGTGTCTTATCTGCTATGGAATTATTGCAGGAGTTCAGACACACTCACACATGGGGAGTTTTCAGCATAAATGCAAAAGAAAAGGTTGATGAGTTGAGAAAGTCATTTTATTCCTGGTTGCAAACAGCAAGCAATGACTGATGCCCTGCCTTGGCTCTACTCTTGCCCATGACTGAAATGTGGAAAGAATTCACTAGAAAATCCAGGTATTACCTCAGCTGCAGTTTTGCATGTCTGCAAACATACACACTCACACACACAAACACACACACACACAAGTGCCCCTTTGCCAGTGCCCAACAAAGATCACATAATCTAAGAGAAAACAATGTAGTCCAACAGTTCTGCCTAACACTCCCTGAGCAGCTCCTAAAATATTTCGAGAGCTTCGTTAAGGCACCTGCATCCGGAAGATCAAAATACACAGCTGGGCTGATTCTGTCTCTGCTTTCCAAGTGCATGCTCTGATTTATCAGTCTGAGGAAACTCATGAATCACAGAGCTCAGTCCCTGGTAATTCAGGATCTGCAGGAGGACCTGGGTGTAAACAAACCACTTCCTTGAAGACATGCTTCCAGAAGGTAGGTAGTACTTCCAGTTTCTCAGCGAAAGCCCAAGAAGAGCTAGCCCTGAGAAGTCCATCTTAAATGTTTCTTCACCTCTTTCACTCAAGTCCATAAAGCCATCCCTCTTTTCAATCAGGCATCTATATGGTGGGGGTGATTATAGTTGTATTAGACACTTTTCCTCACTAGGTAGATGTTGCCCCCATAACCCCTAACCCTGTTTTCATTATTATCCTTCACAGTTGCCTCCGTTTACTAAGTCTGTATAGTTTGGGGGAACTAAAAATATATTCAAATCACCACCTTATTTTCTTCACTCGGGCTCCTTTTCTTGTGTCCTCTGCCTTCAAGTTATGCCTCTCTTCTGCAATTATTGACCTTCACTTACCCCATGCCAAGAGGCACAGACCCTAATAGCATTTGCACTATTCTCTCTACCTACACAGTCTTAACCCAACACCCTGCTCAACTGGCTTAAATTCTTCAAAAGAAAGCCCTGCATTTCTCCTCCCAAAGACAGCCAAGCCACATTATACTTAAAGGTTCCCTTAATTTCCATCTCTCTGCAAACCCAGTAAGTCTGAATAGCTTGATCAGATGCTCTTTAACTCATGTCATGTCTGCAGTTACTCTCTGACTAACCCATCAGAAAGCTGTACATTTCTCTCACTGAATAACAATGGGGGAAAAGCAATACATGTGGGCTGCTGGGAAAATAAGACATAAAGGAGAAAGTGTACAGCATTAGTTTGGAATGACATGTGTTCAGGACTTATTTCTTAAGCCCTGAGGGGTAATGCCCATTCCTACAGCTTTTGTTCCAAGTCATACATGTTGCAGGTGTAAAACCAATAAACAAACAATTGAATCTTTCTCCTTTGACCTCCTTTCCATGACTTCAACAGTGCTCCTACATTTACTGTGGTCCAAAACCAAGGCTGCAAAATACATTCAGTTCAAAGACTTAATGCTTCTTAGCTCAAGGTTAAGTACAAACCCCGAGAATCCACTAATGACAAGTAAGTAGAGGGGTGTGATAATAATTTTTTTTAAATCATAGATGAAAGTCACATGTACAGTTCCCTTGTACCCAAATCAGCATTAGATTTTCCTTCATATATAAGTCACATGAATATGGGATTCCCCATCTCAGTGACAACACTTTGCATTTCCAGTGGGGTCTATATAAACAGTTTTCTTGCACTGTGACAGACTCCTCAGCCGGCAAATAAAAACAAACTTTCATGATACTACGATACTGAGACCACCTTAGAGCTTACGACGATTTTTAAGAAAAAAAAAATACTGGCACAAATTTTAATAAAGTAAGTTTTAACACAAAAACAGTGTTGGCCCTTCCCCACTGAAGTTCATCTTTGTTTTGAAAATAGAGTAAAAAGTGAATAGTCCTTGGTTTTTAGAGCATCCCCCAAACAAAATGTTTTATCCCACCTTCCTTGTTTTTGTCCTCCCAGACCTAAAATCAAAAGCAAACTAATTGCCTTTCATTGGTCTCATGACTCCTGATGGGTCAATTTCTTTTCCTATTAGACCATAAATCAAGACACCTTTTTTTTTTCCTGGATGATTATTTTAAATGATTGGACACATTAGTCTCATCCTCCCTTAGGCCAGATTCTTCAAGCTTCTAAGCAAACCCTTCTCATTCTCCTGCTCCAGAAAATTTGCGCAAGAATTTCTTGTCCCACCCACCCCGCAAGTCCTGGCTCTCTTTATCCAACTGTGCACAATTGATTATAGCTGCAGCTCACTTAGCTCCCACCCCTGAATGTAAAAAATGAGTTCTGGAAAATTAAAAATAGAATAACAATTAAAAATAAAGAGTCCGACCGACGCGGTTGTTCTCTGAAATGTCTCATCAGAGTTTCCCCCGAGCCCTCTGGTGTCCATCACTCATCAGCATCGGGCTTGACGTCCAGCATGGCATGGAGTTCCTCGGGTGTGTATCCCAGCAGGCTCTGCAGGTCACACACAAAGCGGTACACATAGCGTTTACCCGCTGTCTTGTGGATGATGTTTTTGTCATAATAGTAGCGTAGGCCACGGCTCAGTTTCTCATAATTCATTTTCGGTTTATTTTTCCTTTTTCCCCATCTCCTGGCCACCTGAAATTAAAAAGTAAAAAATAAAAAGGAGGGGGAGTCAAAATATACAGGATAATTTGAATAGACATGTTTATATCCTGCACCCATTCATTCATGGTGACCCATGACATTTAAGTAAGATGGTTAGAGATTCATGTACATGGAACATATTTTTCTGGCCTGTCTCTTCTGAATTCTAGTTTTCAAGAGTTGGGCAAGAATGGCAATCAAGTGGATTAAGTTAATGAAAACACAATGACCTTGAACTTCTATGCAATGGAGTTAAAGTATCTGATATTGGGGGAAAAAAGAAAAGAAACACTATACCCTCCCTTCTTTTCCTATATTATTTGTAGAATATCCTTGCTTTGAAATCATGACATTTAATGTGAGGGAGTGGAGGAGAGCTGAGCTGCAACCATGCCCTGCAATCATACCTGCCTTTTATCAGGGGGAAGCATGTTTTCTGTGCCAAGGCACAGTATCTTCTCATGTCTGCCAGAACAGAGATGCTGTCTCTTGTTCACTGTTTATTATCCTCAGAACTGGGCATGACACAAAGCAGCCCCTCAATAAGCAAGCATTTGTTGAATAAAAGAATGAACTAAGGAACATGTTCTATCAATCTTCCAAGGCCCCCTGAATTGTCTGACCCTGTTCAGATTTACAGAGCCATGGAGCCTGGAAACATGCTAAGTCAGAGAAGGCAACTCCAATTCATGAAGGGCTGCTGTGTGCTAGGCATTTCATGTGCATCACATCAACTAATCCTGGAAAACAAATGGGCGATACAGATACTTTCTCTGTTTTTCCAAGTGATGAATGCTAAGGCTCAGACGGGCTATATACTTGCTCAAAGTCATACAGGCAAAGGAGAGCTAGGATTGAAATCCTAGGAAACGTCATCCAGGCCCACACAGTCCTCTCCAGGGCTCACCCGGCTCTCCCAAGGCACGCCCTCCTTACCTCATCTGGGTCAGAAAGCTTGAATTCCCAGCCATCTCCTGTCCAGCTGATAAAAGACTGACAGGATTTATCAGTGAGTAATTCCAGAAGAAACTGCCACAGCTGGATTGGTCCACTGCCTGGAAACACAAGCCATGGGGAATCATCACACCAGATGTTCACACTCGCAGCAACTAATCCCATGATCCAACCCTCCCTCTCCCTCTTCCCTCCTCTCTCTGTCCCTCTAGCCAGAAGAAAATGAAGGTGACATATAAACACGTATGTTGGGTGAGCTTCAATAGACAGAAAGGTGAATAACTTCCCATCAAAAAAAAAAAAGGATCAAATACAATATACCATTGTCTTACCAATATTACTTTGGTTGACTTTAAGGGTCAGTCCCTTTTTATTGCTATGCAAACACTAGAAGGAAAATACTGGATCTATCCTCTGAAATGTTGTAAGGCCACATTATCTTTTGTGCCTTCAAAAACTATACCATTATTTCTGCCTTAAGGAGTAATAAAGGTGTTAATTAAGGATGTCCTTGCTACTTCCAATCAGAAGCCGAAGCTCATAAGCACTTCTCCAGAGCCGGGGACCTTTGGGTCCTGCTTCGCCAGTGAGGTCACTACCCTGGGGCATCTAACAAGGAAACAGAAGCTGGATGTTGTTTCCATCATCATGTTTTAATATCCCTGCCCATCACCATCCCATCCTCCCAGGCCACTGACAAGCAGGCACCCAAACTAAGGAAGGCAAGCGTCATCACTTTGTGAGGGATTAACTCCCACCCAGGGAATCCCCAGGGACTAGGGAGGACTGTCTCAGGAATTCTGAAGAATACTGTTCAGTATATTGTAACTCACACAAACACACGCATACACTGTTCTCTTGTATTAGCCATCAATACTGCCAAGATCTTAGTTCCTGAAAGCCCAACATGCTCTGATAGTCAACTTATCATAAGCTAAAGGATTTATACTACATAGATTTCCTTTTAAGATAACTTTTCACTCAGAAATGTCAATGCTGCCAGTGAGTCCTACACCTCATCTATGGGGGTAGCCAGAGACAAATAAGGTTCAGTCGTCCATGCTGCCCTTTCTATGTCTACCTTGTACCTTATAATACCATGTCAGAGGCAACCTGGACAGGGTGGGACAGGGAAAGACCCAGTGCGTGGAGACGAAGGAAGCCTAGGATGCTCTAACTCACATAGAAACAATTGACTTTTCAATGCTCTAATCCTTAACCTGAGTTTCAATTTGTCTGATCTAAAGTAAACTGAGATACAATAGGAAACAAGCTCTAGGTTGTCCTCAATCTAAAAAAGAAATGTCCTTTATGATCGATCAGGGCAATCTCTTGTGGTAGCTCATACCTCTGCAAGGTGTGTTCACATGCACCATATTGCTTGTTCCTAAAATCCTCCTCCTCTATAGTGAGACACAAGCAGTCGTACCATTGAATCCTACTGGTGTAGCAAAAGGTGCTCAGCAAAGCGATGTGACTCTACTACAGGGCACAGTTAGACCTGGTGGCGCTGGGTCTAGGGCCCAGGCCTTTCAACTCCACACACCAGGGAAACTGCCACTGACATGCACCATCACTGGGCCACCACAGGAGGCGCTCCTCCAGCCACTGTGTCCCAGGTGGTCTCCAGCACACCTCCTCAGCACATCCCAAGCTAAATACGGAAAATGGAATCTACCTTATCCCTCCAAGAAAGCTCCTGAGCTCTTGAAAACCATCTTGCAAGAAAAACCTTAGACACACTCTAGAATAAAATGATTTGGGGAATGCCTACAAAATAAATGAACATTCAAAGAAACAGCACACAGTGTTAACAGTAAATCCTTGCCCCCTTCAGTTTCTACTCCTTGTTAATAAACCGTTTATACAACGCAGACATGTGTAGCTTTCTTGGGAGCTCAGTTAAAGTCACCAGCTACCACTCCCTGTCTGGGCCCAGGGGTCTAAAGGGGACATTACATGAGGAATCCACTGAGAAGCCATCCTGATGGGCAGAAGTAAGAACAAGTCTCCATTAAGAAATGCTATGGGATTTCCGGGGGTGAAAATTGAAGAAAAGGCAGGTGCAAGAATATGTGTGATGTAACAGATTTCCTAAAAAGTACAAAACGGCTATACATCCAACAAGCCCCTGAAGAGAGACATATAAAGAAAAATCAACTACCCCAAAACTGTGTAAATGAACCTTGGGCTCTGCTGGGTCAAGATCACTCACGGACATAAGACAGAGAGAGGAGTCGCTTTAAGACCCCTGGCGGAGAAAAGTGCGAACAAGAGCTCTGAGTTATTGCACGCTTATGATGAAGCCGACTGTGTGTGTAATGCTTTCTATTCATCTCCTTGATTCCGCACAGTAACTCCATGGGGCAGATAATATTGTTATATGTGTGTGTACCACACTCTACAGCTGAGAAAGCTGATACGCTGCGTGGCTGTGTCCACTGGCCTTGTCCAAGGCCATTGAGATCAGAGGTGGAGTCTGACCCCTAAATTCTTCATCTCAACACTGCACTGCCCCTAAACAAGACCAGCCCAGAGGCTGACATCTAGTTGAAGGGTCTGGCTTTTAAAAGACACCTCTTCATCGCAGCAGCCACAGGACACTGGATAGCTAGTGAGCCTCCCGACTGTCTGACACTAGTGCCCCTGACAGACACCCACCTGCACAGGTGACATTTCCAGCCCGATCATCCAGGTCCCCCGGGGTGGCTGTTAGGCTGTTACTTCCTCATTTCTCCCACCACTGTTTACACTGAAACCTCTCTCACACTCTCTTAAAACCTCTATGGGGAGTTGAGGGCTAATCATACCAAGCTGAGGAAAGGGAACAGAGCAAAGGGCTTCTTCTACCTGGCCGGGGAGCAGGGAACACACGCCCAGTCCCGAAGAGGAAAGTCCAAGAGGCTCTCTCTGGCCCTTAGAACTAGGTGGCCAGAAAGCAGAGAAGGGGACTTCCAACTCATGTCGCTGGAACCAGCTGATAGAGGAAAAAATCTCAGACAGAATTATTACTGCTGTTTTTCCTGCCACTGTCATTTCCCAAATCGCATGTTAGTGTTGCAGGCTCTCTGCCTGGCTCCAGGCCTCCCTGTGTGTATCTGACCCCTGATGCTGTGTATACGGACACAGGCAGAGTAAGTCTGACTGTGGGTTACTTTTTTTTCTTTCTCATTGTGAGTTTACCTTTGTTTGTAAGGAATATAAAACTGAAATTCGGGACCTGAGAGCGCAGGCCCTAAATGCAGGGCCCTCTCTTTTTCTATTTAGACCCATGGGAAAAGGGGGCATAAATGCAAAACCCAGATGCCTGAATGGGAGAAATGTCTCTGGTTAGCTTCACACCAGGCAAGTCAAAGCAGTGGTGTGTCAGCTCAAGTGTCCTTCCCCCAGGGCCTGAGGAGCCATCCTGGGGGCCCACCCAGGGCGGACGGCGGTGCTCTCGCTCCGGGTTGTCTGAAAGTCGCTGCTCACCCTTCAGAAAGCCTACATTTTGGTAGCAAATGAAAAGCTTCCATGTATCCTCCTAAGGATTCCTTCCTCCCTGGGACCTTTCTGCAAACTCCTAACCTGCCCTTTCAGTTGTGGGGAGCAAGAGGAATGGGAATAACATGGAGTAACACTGGGTCAGGGCGGGCGTGCTGGTCTCGGGTGGGCCCGCTCCCTGGCTGGCCTGACACAGGAGCCTGCTCCCGCAGCGTCGGGCCTGAAGGGCGATCTGGGCCACATGGAAGCAGAGCGAGTGGAGGTGGTTCTGGGCTGGAAAAAACACTGGCTACAAAGGCCGGCCAGCAACATCCCAGGCCAGACCCATGGAACTGCTTATGCCCCGGGCTTGTTGAAACACTGAAATGAGCCTGGCACTCCTGGTTATAGTCCCCCAAAGGATGTTTCTCTGCTGCTTAGCGGAAGGTCTGCCCAGTCCCCAGGGCAGCAGGGCTGCATCCTCGCCCTTGTTCTGATACATCCTAAAGCTATCAAGTCTCTTCCTCGGGCCTCCATGCGCCTCCTCTCACCCCCGGGGCCCAGCCCATCCACCCACCCAACTGGACTGTGGTCCCAGTGACCTCTGTCCCAGGGAGCAGAGAATGGTACTAAGAATAGTGCCCGTCATGGGGAGGGGGGACTCACATACTAAATGTGACTCACAATGGTGTCCCTGTCTGGGGGCCACAAAGCAGTCAACGGCATCCTTCACCACGCTGCCCTGGGGTGTCACACATCAGGAATCTGGTGGTATCACTGGGAAACTATGCTTCTCAAGTCGAAGCTCTCAGCCACAACAACAGAGGGGTCCCTGTTAGAAGGAAGTCTCTCTCCAAAGAAGGGTGGGAGGGAGGGGACACCACACACAAGCCCCCCACCCCTCACTGGGCCTCCACACCCCCTGCCGTCTGCTCCCTCCTAGAGCAGGGGAATTTCCTCTAACTGCTTTTGTTCTTCTCAGCTTCTGGGTAAGAGGACACTTCTTGGTACAACACTGAGAGTCCTGATTTGAAGGACACGGTACAACCTCAGAAGTGTCAGGTACCTGATGGGTCCCAGGCCATCAGGACAAATCACACAAGGGTGCGTCCCTCAAGAGGGGCTCTCTCGAGATGCTTCACATCCAAGGCTACAATCTCATTTTTTTTTTAAGGCAAAGCTCCAAGTAAATTTCTACTCATTTTGCTTATGTTTTAAGTCCATCTCCTCGTCTAGGAACCGGAAGGCCCACCCTCTACCTTAATGAAGGCTGGCTATTAAAAATCCCCTGCTTTTTCACTCCCTTTCTGAGTCTGAGAAGTGAGCATTAAGGGAGCACAGAGCAGTGGCTGGGAGGAAATTTCAGTAAGATTCTCTTGCTAAGAATCCTTGCTGTTTGGCTACTTGTCAGTACCTTTCTCCTCATTTTCTAGGCTTGGAGGGTGCTCACCCCCACTAGCAAGAACTCACTGCAAGTGAATGGGGTTCAGGGCTGGACTTCAGCTTTTCCTCTTCATCTCAACTGCGAGTGTTCACTCTGCCATCTGTGCTGCAGTGGGAGGCTGGCATATAGGTGTCTACCATGCTGACGGAGGACAGGCCGGGGCAGTCCCTCTCTCGGGCAGCCTCCCCTGTGGTT